AGTTGGAGGGAGGCGGAGAGAACAGCCATCCTTATTTCCTCCCCACGTTTCCGCGGAAGGACCGGGGCTGCAGAGGGCTGGGAGAGGGCGCAGGACGAGACGGACCAATAGCAGTCAACAGGTCCAGGCCGCGGCAGGGCAGCGGGGCCGGGCCGCCGCGCCCCCTCCTTTCGGGTCCCCTCCCCCGCCTTCTTCTCCCCTCCCCTCCCCCGTAGGCTCGGCCCGGCAGGGGAGGCCGGTTCTGCACTCCCCGCCCCACCCGGCCCGACTGTGGTCGCCTCGGCCCGGGCTCTCGGGGTGGGGGTGGGGCGGGGGTTCCCTGCCGGAGAATCCTCCCCCGGGGCTGGCAGTGGGGGGAAGGGGACGGGATCGGGGAATGGAGGATTAAGAAGGACTCGAGCTCGGCACGAGCGCGGCCGGCGCGAGGGATCCTGGGTAAAAAGTGGCCGCGCGGCACCGGGAGAGCGCGGAGAGGAGCCAGGGTCAGAGGTCAGGGCCCTGGAGCCCCGCTTGCAGAGCCCCCCACGTGAACGCAGCGAGCAGGAGGAACCTTTTTGTTTTCGACCGCGCCAGCATGCTCCCCTATTGACCGAGCTGCTTTTCCCGGGCCGCTGGAGAGAGGAGCTCCATCCCGAATCTCCTAACCCCACCCCACCCCCGCCTTCTACCACCAACACACTACCCAACTCTACCCTTCCTCTCAACTCACTTCCCAGCCCCCCGTACCGGCCTTGCAATAACGCAGTAAATTTGCTTTAACAACAAGTGGGGGTGGTTGCATTTACTCCTCCCTCTCCTCCCTCCTCCCCCTCCTCTTGCTGCGGCTCTTGACACTACTACAAACCAGGACTATAAACATAAACATGTGTCCCTGTAACTGGGCAGGTAATATACGGATTTGGGAGTGGCGTGGAGGGGGGCTTGGTCGCCGCTGGGGGGAGGGGGGCAGTAAAAAAAAATGTGTGTTTCACGTGCTCGCCGGCTTTGGGGGCTCCCCCCACACACCGATCCATTTATATAATGCCGATGGCACACGGTCACTTACTCATTCAGCCACACAGACCCACAAAGGCCGACTTGCCGATAACCACTGTACCCCAAAGCAAATGCATTTACATACGACTCTCCTTTCCCAACCACTGCTGCCATTTCTATCAGCAAACAGTAGCGTCAATACTTGAATCCCCTTTCCTTTGAACAAAAGTATTTTCCACATAGAAATAGGGAACATTTTTCGACCTGAACAGTACGCCGCTCTTTCCCCATAGACAGTAACCTACACATTTTGTGCGCAGAAATCCTTTCAAAAAGCAAGTAAGGCTATTTAAATGACTGAGTTTGAAATCTGTAATGTAAAGGTTCTTTCTTGGGCTTTCCCTTCTTGCATTTAGCAACTTCTAAAGTTGCGGGGGCTGGAGCTCTGGAGATACGCTACAGCAAGTCTTTATTATTATTATTTAGTCTATATTTACACTGCCGCTCAACTTTTCTCTCTTTCTTAGCTCAGCAAGCCTAGCAACAACTGCTTACGGTAGAGCAAAGCGAATCCCCTCGCAAGCTTTTTGGCTTGAAACAGAGGGAGATTCAGAAAATGTTCAGATGGAGAAGTGGTTCCCTTTGTTCTTTCATTGTTTCTCTAGGAACTGGTGGATACAAGGACAAACACTTACCTTCTCTTCTTTTTGCTCCCCAAACCAGACGTTCCCATCAGCCTTAAAATACACAATCCACCTTGAAAGTAACTACGAATGTCGGGAGAGTTTGTATTCCATTCTTTTTCTCTCTCTGCCCTCTTTTAGCGTAGGATTAAGTTGCCGAGCACGTTGCTGCAAGCTGTAGCCCCCCGCCTTAGTGAATCGGTCACGTTTAGGACCCTCTAAGTCCATCCTAATTCTGCCAGTAGAATTGAGGGTATTGGAAGCTCTAAACTTTCAAAAGGAAAGGGGTCTGCAAGCATCCAGGGAATTTAGGTATCCTCTGAAAATTTTTTACCACTGTATTTTTGTACCACATCACCAAAAGAATTTGCCAAGAAATACTAGATATTTCTTTGAGGAAAGTGTGTGTGTGTGTTTTTGTTTAAGTTTCTACTTAGCAATGCGCTGCTTAGACAGATGGAGTAAAAAGGCAGGTTTGTAAGGACATTTAACGGAAGGAGTGGGTTTTCCATAATGTTTGTTATGCCATGTGTTTTTTTCAAAACACTACTGGAACTGAGAAAGGAAGCAAACAGAAATTTGAATTATAGCGTTTCGGAAGGACTTAAAGAGAGGCACTTGCTTGAAATGAATTTGTGTAAAAACTGGCCTTTAAAACAAAAAGTGAGCTTTTTCAAAGTTGAAAGACAATTTTCACCCTGTGATTCCAAAATTTAACAAGTGACTTCCCTGGCTAGCATGTGATACGTGTTAGTGTTTAGTGTCCAGCCTGGTGGGCATTACTCCCCAAACCTTGTTTAAAATCTGATTATAACGTGATTTGTTGAAGTCATGAATACGAAATGATCCTTGTGTATCCATAAATGCGAACTTGGAGTTTTTTGATCTCCCGCTTTTTTGTCTGCACCCAGTAGCTGCAGCAGCGGAAGACAGTGATTGGCTCCAGTGCTCCTAGAAGAATTTGGGCTGAAGCCAGGGGAACAGAACCAGAGGATTCCCTTTCCAGAGACCGTCAGGCTTCACATGCCTATCTTTCCCTTCTCCCCTCTAGGGTGCTCAGAATTTTCAGTGTGGCTTAAGCAGCCCATAGGTAGGCCTCAACACTGAATGTCATCACTTCAGGTCCTACTTGTTTGGTTCTCGCAGATGGGAAATAAACAAAAATCGGGGTATCCCAAATAAATTGTGGATCTTGAGGTTTGTGTGTTATTGAATATGCCAACACAGAACTCTATACTTTCTCAGATTTTTTTTTTTTTTCCTACATTCAGGATCAATTGTAAGAGGCCCTGGTGTCTCATAGGAAAATATTGCAACAAAACAAGATAATTGGGGGAAAGGCAGTTGCAGTAGGAAAAGTGGTTTTTCTTTGATAGCATTTAATTGGAATTCAAAGATTCTTGAGCTGTAAACATTCTTTATTTATTCAGCACACATAAGCAGGCATTGTTTTATCACTATCATAATTATGGTGTCCTTTAAACTGGCTGATAGCAGAAAAGATAAGGGAATGTGCCTGTACATTCAGATCAGGTCTTGCTCCTTTCTTTTTTTCCCTCGCAGCCTTCCTCCCCTCTCTCTTTACTCCTCTCCCACCTCATTCCTTCCATGATCACTAGGGTCCCCCACAGCCCTTGAGATGAGGAGAGCAGGAAGATTGTGGCCTAACCATTTCTTACATCATGAAAGTGCAAATTTGTACCATACTCTAATTTGACGCAATCTATAACCTTCTTGTCTCCCACATTTATAACTGCTTTTTGGCTTGCAATATGTGTTATCTGAAGAGTCGCCTATGGCTCACCTGTAAAAAATCTTGTCCGCCAGGGTTTGTTGCTCTACCTTTGTCTAATTTATAAAGCACACTCTTAGGGCTTTTTCAGAACAAAGCCTCACAAAACCCCCTCTACCTCCAAGGATTTGCAAATTTATAAAGGCTGCATTGAATTCAAGATGGGTCAGGGGGCAAAAAAAGGGTAGAAGGTCACCGCATTTTGATTATGGGTCAGTAGACAACATGGCATATACTCTGTGTCCCAAACTTCTGTTAAAAACAGGATTTTCAGATGCCTAAGAACAGAAGGATGGGCCCTTTTGGAGACCTGCCCTGATTTGTTTGAATGAGACAAAAAAGAAAAAATTTAAAGAAAATGTACTAAGTTATAATTTAAGTTGATCCTCAAGTTAGCCATTTCCTCCTCCTGCATTCTCATTTTCCCCTCCCCAAAAGCAGAGAACATGTAAAAGACATAAATTTAGGTAAGGAACTGTTGACTCTCACACAGGATTTTATTGTCTTATATTCTCAATTAATTCAGCCATATGAGTCTTTATTATTATTTTAGACTTTGTTATGTTTTATTATAGTTACTTTTGGCTAACAGTACAAGGGATTTCTTTTATTCTTCTAACCAGTGTACTTACATTGTGGAGGCCTTTGTGATGTTCCCTAGTCTTTTCTGTCTGAGTTCACTTTGAACAAAATGTGCCAGCAATCACTAAAACAAATGTATATGGTGAAGAGTTAGGTGATGGGGGTGGGGTAGGGGTGGGGGGGTTGTCCTCATTTAAATTATGTATGTATGAGTGAAGGCTGGGAAGGGAAAGGATTATTTTAATGCTCTTCAATACTTTAATTATATGACATTGTAGTGTAGAAATGCAAAAGTACTCAGGTTTTCCTTCAGGTTTTCAAAAGAACTTTCCCCATTAGTAAACTACATCTGCAAATTGCTATTGCATTTCCCAGCTAACCATTTAAAAGACTGTAAATGCCGTGTGCATTACTTCGCTGCACAGGAAAGAGGTCAGACCGAATTGCAATGGTATTTAAACATAAAATACGGTGAAAATAAATCAAAATAGAACCTTTGAAGATAAATTTAGCACATTCACACAGGATAAGTAAAGACAAATATGTTCATATCTTCATAGCCCATCACTTTAAAAACTGAAAGTGCTGATTTTTTACAACAAATGCAGAAGTAAGTGGACATTAATATATTTCTATCTGTATTTGCCACAGAGGATTTTCCTCTAGCAAACAGCTTTGTTTTCAAAGCTAAAATACTTTTTATGATAGTGTGTAGATTATGCATTCCTCCCTGAGTAAATAATCGCATTTAATTAACAAACTCAGTGCATATCTTATATATGCCTAAATTCTCAGTTAAGTAATTCCCTGGACCCTTGGAGATGAATATCCACATAAATGTTAATTTGGGCATATCCACCCCACATATGTATATGTGCTTCAGAAACATAGAATTTGATATATCTTTTTAAAAAAAAAAGAATTTGAATGCAGTCCATCATCTGAATGGGGTTCATCTTTGATTGTAGAGGCGGCTGACATGGTCAACATATTTATCAAAGAAACCCCCTGGCTTTTGAAGAATAGTACTTTATACATCTGGATCTGCACATCCAGGCAAAGTAAGTAAATTATTGCATAACTTTAAGCATAATTGATAACAGACACCTTTAATTTTTCATCCCCATTCTTTTGGCCAGCTTTCACATTAATAATCTAAGCCATAAATGTTGGTAGCTATTGATCGAAATCCCCTGTGTGCATGCAAATCCATCTTAAAGTCCCCTGCCTTTCATGTGTGAGCGCTCAGGGGCCTCAGCTAGATCTTTTTATCGGGATCGACCCCCAATGTGCCTGGAGAAGACCCCGGATATGCAACGTGTGCTGATGGCCACAAGAAAGCTGTCTGTCACATTCTGTGTGTGTGTGTGTGCATGTGCACGCAAGAATGTGCATGCTCACGCCTTAACACACACACACACACATACACACTGATAGGGAAGTTAAAGGAACAAAAGAATGTATTAGACAAGAAGAAAGGTGTGTAATAGGAGTATTAAAAATGTATAAATGTGAAGGTATCTGAGTGCACAAAGATACTCACATAAATTGTATATATAGACCCAGTTCCCAAATCCCTTGGCCTTTATTTTTCTTCATTTGACCCAACAGACTGTAACTTTAGTTTAAAAAATACTATTCTGCTAGTTTTAAAAACCACCCATATTGCCAGTATTTTAAAGGTGAAAGAGGAGGAAGGAGAGGAAAAGGTGATTTTGAAATGGTTACTAAATCACATAGCCTTGTGCAGGAGGAATAGGACTGTGAGTTTGTGTGTGTGTGTGTGTGTGTGTGTGTGTGTGTGTGTGTGTGTGTGTGTGTGAAAATCTCAATAGGAATTGAGAACAACTAGTACTACCTGGCCAAATTTAAAAAAAAAAAAAAAATAGGACGCTCCAGCCAACCTTTTGTAATGTGTTCTCAAAGGTTTTTTCTGAGTTTACTATTTCTTGGCTGTTTGACTCTCTGGTGGAAATCTTAAAGCTGGGGGAGGGGAACTGAACGGGGTAGGGTGAGAGGAAGAGGACTGGCAGTATATAAGTGCATCAGGAGAAATTTTAAAACGACATTATTGTCGCTGGCAATAGAAAGACTCTGCTCATTCTACTTTAAAAAACAAACACCAGCATCTGCTTTTCCTGGAAACTTTGCTTTCTGCTTAAACCTCTTGCTTTTGCCTCCTGCGAAAGTGAAAGAGAAATACGCGGTGTGATAGATCCAGATGCAAAAGAAAGCCAACTCGGTGGATGGTATTAGCTGTGACGAGGCATTGTTCATTGCTGCCTCTCGGTTACGTTTAAAGCCTGAAATATCACGAGATCCATTCAATGATCCTTCTCTCATTCAAGGGACAAAAATGTAATTTGCTGTAGCTCTGATTTCTTGGATGGAAATGCTAGCCTTAGATTTCAAAGGCAAGAACTAGACATCGCGGTTTGTACACACATTGATTAAGTTGAAGAGCGGCGATTACATCTGTGCTGAGTGCAACAGTAGTCCAGGGCTGACTTTTCAAATCCCAACCTCTGAGTTACAGACTCTCTTAAATAGACTTCCTTAATTTCCGGATGCACTTCTTGAAATTCCCAATTCTCTTCAAAATTCCTGGGAAATTACAAGAAAGATGAGGGTGGGGGTGGGGAACTATGGTGGAGATTTCATGCAAACTACCTTTTTGTGTGTCTGACTCTTCGGTTTTTAATCTCTCTCTCTCTTTCTCCCTCTCTCTTTGAGCCATACCTGCTTGTGCTAGTCAGACCAGAGCAGGGGAAGCTGGAACTTTTGAATGTGAAGGAAGAAATTACTGTACAATTTTTTTCTTGCAGGCTCTGAAATATCCGTTTATTCTTTTAACCACACGGAAGTGTCTATTTTTGGAAGAACAAGGAAACATATAAATGCCTGGGCTGCATTCATGCTGTAGTTCCAAACACCGAACAGTTAAGAAGATTTTGCCGAATTTTGCAAAGCAGCCAACAAACTGCCTTGGGATCGTGGTGATGCGACTGGGAAGACCTTTGCTCTCATTTGGCAATATTTTGGATATCCTTGAAAATGACACCAAAATATGCTTTAATTTGACTAAGAAGAGGTTAAACAATATTGATATTCATCCAAAGTGATTTTTTTTTAAAAGCAGATGCTTGGCTTTCATGGAAAAAAATGGGAGTTGTGGAAGATTCATTTAAACTACCAACCAAAAGCATCACAGACCACTGAAATAGTCTGCATCATACATCAGCACTTTCTTTTCATCGTTATTACGTAAAACCTCTGGAAGCACCTTGGGCTGTTTACCTTTTCTTTTCTTTGCTACAGAAGCAATCTGCTCCATGGAATTCTGACCTGTTGTGAACAGGACCCTGGCTAAGGCTGTGCTGGGGACTCTAGGACCATCCTGCCTCCAATCCAGCCTGCTTAATTGTGAAAAGTGTACACATTTCTGGCTTATCTATGCTTTGTTATGGGTCTGACGTGAAACTACCTCCTCCCCACTCCACCCCCCAGCAGAGAACCAAAATTCAGTTGAATTGTTACAGTGTTTCGGAGCTGGAGCCTTGAACTGCTTCACTGGTCAAATAACTTTGTTTCTGGTTGTAAAAAGGCATTTTAGTCGGGGGGGCGGGGAGGGGGGGACAAGGAAAATCGAGAGAAATTCAAAACGTAAGTCTGTACTGGGATGGTTCACCGCGCGGATTTAACTTTGGAGCTCCCAGCCGGGCTCCTTCCCCACTCCCATAAGGGAAATACCAGGCTGTTCTGCACGTTTCGCTTAAGCTCCATTTTCCAAAGGAAAAGGGGGGTGGGTTATATCTATTTAGGCTTGATAATGTTTTAAAAATGCTTTTCTTTGAAATGATAATAGCTATAGCGGTAAAATGCAAATAAAGCAAAAAATAGGCAATATTCCTTTAAAGGCGAATATACAAGGCTTTTTTTTTTTTTTTTTAGCGTACACACACTGCTTCTGATGAAGTCTGTGAGTCAGGCTGTTTCTGAGCTCCGATAGTTTAATGGAAAGATTTATATACCGACTGTATTATTTACTTTGGGAGGGGAGGTGGCAGTATAAGGGTATGCTAATTAGTGGGAGATTTTGGGGGGAAGGGGTGGAATATCAATTTTTATTGCATCACCTGTCAGGAGTGTCCAATCAGCGCTGGCTTTAGGGGAATTAATTGATGAAGGTGTCTCCGGACGAGCTCACTTCACTCTGTCATTTTATTTGTAGCTAAAGCAGCGGCGGGAATAGCAGCTGCATGTCTTTTCTCTTTCTCCTTCACATTCCATTATCATAGTGCTCCAATGGAGAAGGAAGGAATAGAGGGGCCCAGGTACTGATCTGCAGCGGGGACTTAGACCAACACACTGGCAGAGCAGAAACCGGATGGTTTTTTCCCTCTTTTTTAAAAAAACGAAAACCAAAAAAAAAGCAAGAATCAAGTCAGTGTAATTTCATAGTTTTTTTTTTTTTTTCTTTTCCCCAATAATTTCGCCTCGAGTTTGGCACTCCCTTCGCCGGGAATAACAGTCTTTGTTATTTTATTAGCAGGATGCCTTGAGACACACGCAGCATCTGGTGGAGGATTAACATACATACATGTGTATGTATGCGTCACGTATATATTTACTGCAAATGGTGGGGATCGTTTAGTGCCCGACATGGGAGACCTGAAGTCAGGTTTTGAAGAGGTGGATGGCGTGAGGCTCGGCTACCTCATCATTAAAGGAAAGCAAATGTTTGCCCTCTCCCAAGTCTTCACGGATCTGCTGAAAAACATCCCGAGGACGACCGTGCACAAGCGCATGGATCATCTGAAAGTGAAAAAGCACCACTGCGATCTGGAGGAGTTGCGGAAACTCAAGGCAATCAACAGCATCGCCTTCCACGCCGCCAAATGCACGCTCATCTCCCGGGAAGACGTGGAAGCGCTCTACACCTCCTGCAAAACTGAGCGCGTCCTCAAGACCAAGCGCAGGAGGGTCGGCCGGGCCCTGGCCACAAAGGCGCCGCCGCCAGGGCGCGCCGCCGCCGCCGNTCATCACCACCACCACCACCACCACCGCCGCCGCCGCCGCCGCCGGGCCCAGCTGCCGCAGCCGAGCCACCACCCCCCCCATCACCACCGGCCGCAGCCCCATCTGGGCAGCTTTCCCGAGAGCTGCAGCAGCGACTCCGAGTCCAGCTCCTATTCGGACCATGCCGCCAACGACTCGGATTTTGGCTCCAGTGTGTCCAGCTCCAGCAACTCTGTGTCCTCGGAGGAAGAGGAGGAGGAGGGCGAGGAGGAGGAGGAAGAGGAGGAGGAAGAGGAGGAGGGGGGCAGCGGGGCCTCGGATTCCAGTGAAGTCAGCTCGGAGGAGGAGGAGGAGGACTCGTCCACGGAGTCGGACTCTAGCTCCGGCTCCAGCCAAGTGTCAGTGCAGAGCATCCGTTTCAGGCGCACCAGCTTCTGCAAGCCTCCCAGCGTGCAGGCGCAGGCCAACTTCTTGTACCATCTGGCCTCCGCCGCCGCTGCAACCAAACCCGCTGCTTTCGAGGATGCCGGCAGACTTCCCGACCTCAAGAGTAGTGTCAAAGCGGAGTCGCCCGAGGAGTGGAATCTGCAGAGCTGGGCCCCCAAAGCGTCTCCGGTGTACTGCCCGGCCAGCCTGGGGAGTTGTTTCACAGAGATAAGGAACGATAGGGTATCTGAGATTACATTCCCACAATCTGAAATTTCCAGTATTGTAAAGAGAACTGACCTGACAATTAACTGCCTAGCGGAGGGGGCCTCTTCACCTAGCCCAAAGACAAACAATGCATTTCCACAACAAAGAATACTCCGAGAGACGAGGAAATGCCTACAAGCAACTCCTACTACACACTGTGCAGATAACAACACAATAGCTGCTAGGTTCTTAAATAATGATTCTTCCAGAGCAGCAGCAAATTCAGAAAAAGATTCCAAAATCCCTCATTGTACTGAATTTGCTACGGATTTGCCCTCTTCTTCGCCAACTTATCCCGAGGTGGATACAGCAGCAGTAGCAGCAACAACTAAAGCCGAGAATCCCTGTACTGACACGGGCGACAGGACATTGCCGTTTCTGCACAATATTAAAATCAAAGTAGAAGACAGTAGTGCTAATGAAGAATATGAACCTGACCTTATTACAAATAAGCTAAAGTGCGAGTGCAATGATACAAAGGGTGAGTTTTACAGTGTGACTGAAAGTAAAGAGGAGGACGCCTTGTTAACTACAGCCAAGGAAGGTTTTGCATGCCCTGAAAAAGAAACTCCTTCCTTAAATCCACTGGCTCAGAGTCAGGGCCTTTCATGCACTTTAGGTTCTCCAAAACCTGAGGATGGGGAATATAAATTTGGTGCCAGGGTGAGAAAAAATTACCGGACACTGGTACTGGGAAAGCGACCTGTACTTCAGACACCTCCAGTCAAACCAAATCTGAAATCAGCTAGAAGTCCTCGTCCTACAGGTAAAACTGAGACACATGAAGGAACACTGGATGATTTTACAGTTATAAACAGACGCAAAAAGGTAGCCAGCAATGTAGCATCAGCAGTGAAAAGGCCATTTAATTTCATGGCAAATTTTCCTTGTCCACCATCACTCATTATTGGGAAGGATGGGGATTTGTGGCCGGCGTATTCCTTAAACACCACTAAGGATTCCCAACCTCCTCACAAGGCCCATCCTATATGGAAATGGCAGCTGGGCGGTTCTGCAATACCTCTTCCACCTAGTCACAAATTCAGGAAATTTAATTCATAAAAGAGTTTTTGGAAGATATTTTCTTGAACCATACCTTCCTTTTGTTGTAAACTGCACAGGATGGTTTGTACAAGTCCATTAATGTGTTACACCTCTTTTGGAGTCCTGGTTTATCGCATTTTGAAGACAGAAATCGGATTACTTTTTTTTTCCATTGCGGGTTTTTTTTTTTTTTTTTTTTGAGTAGGGTGGGGGAGGGGTGGGAGAAGGGTTGGTTTACATTCCACAGACTATACTTCAGGCTAAAGACTCAAGTAAACTCAGTTATTACGGTAGAGCTGGAACACTTTACTGTTTCAATGCTAATAATGCACCCGGTACCTCAATTCAACTGCTACAAATAAATGTCAAAAGGTTGAATAATAAATATTACAATGAGCCATTAAGTTTATGCACTAGATTTCAGACCTGAAAGTGTAACTGTTAATTCAGTGAAAGTTTGTTAGGTTGGTTACATGGTTACACAGTGAGGTAGCAAGAAGTTTCTTGTGGGGTATCTTTTTCTTTTTCTCCCCTCATTTCCTCTCCAAGAGTAGTTGCACTTTTTTTTTTTTGATTGGAAATATTGGGGAGTCCTGAATGAATGCTCGTAACAGCTGCTTCACATATATTGAGTAAAGCAAATATAACATTGTCTTTTTTCTTCTTTTTTTTTGGTAAAGGGTGTAATTTTACTTTTACGCCACTCCTTGCAATTGGGAAAGTCCTTTTTGTGTCCTCACCCATAATTTTAAATTAGGTGACTCTTACTATTGTCCTGCTTATCTTGTGGTCTGAACATGACTCCTCAAACTTGCAAAACAATTAAAATATTTCTCATAATAGCAGGATATTTTATGGTCTGACTCTTTATAGTGACAGCAGTAAAAAAAAGCAACAAAGAAAAGGAAAATGGGTCAGAATTGTTAGAATACCCCAAATGAAAAATAACAGTTATTTCAGGGCTTTTTGGTACCAGAACTCAGGCACTTGGATTTTATTACCTTTTACTTTCTCTGCATCTCTCTAAACTTCTGTTTTCAGACCATCCTGTGTATAGAGCAGGAGAGTTTCTACTGCAAGTGACAATCAGAGGTGACTATCTATATTTGCACTTAAAATCAAAGTAGTTCAACATGCAAATGGTTAGGGTCTAGCCCTTGGTAAGGGCCATGCTGGTGTACTATGTTGTGATGATGGAAGCAGTAAATCAAAATTATGGAAATTTGCACTGTTGAAAAGCATGCTTTAGCTTTATTTTCAATTAAAAACACTGTTTAAAATTCCTGGTTCCATATATTTCTACTTATTCCAGATTGAAGAACAGTTAACAGGAATGAATGGTTTTGTTGACATTTTCACTTGTAATGTTTTTGCCTGAAAGAAATGCATTTATTGGGTGTAGTGTTTTGTTGTAATACCATGTGATGAGGCCAGTCAGGTTCTGTGCAGACCACTGGTGGGTTTCTTCCTAAATAACAACAAAACTTCACAAACTTATTACAAATCAAGTGCAAAAAGTTTCAGGTTGAAGAAAGTGAAGCAGAGATCACTTGTTATTTTGATAAAAATGAAATCTAATAATTTTGGGTCCACCTCCCCTAGTCTGACAAATTATAGATCTCAGATCTTTGCCATCTTAAACCTAAGAAGTTGCATCTATAAACTATAAATCACAGAATGAAACAAAACATCAATGAAATGTTTACTGTGTGAATTTAAGTCACTATTTCTCATGGAAATTCAGTCTCCCCCCCCCCCCAACCTTTTAATTCCTACTCCCTTTGAAATTTTCCTTTTGTCTATAAATGTTTCAGATAGATCTGGATGGTCTCAGCCCTAATTGCTGTATATGCTCTGTGGTTTTACTCTTTATTGTAAAGGACAGAGGCTGAGAGTACCTGCATCCAAATACATTTGGATGGAGTAAACAGATGCTTTGAACTGCCTCCCTTCCTTTCCTTCTTGAATGTTGCCAGATGTAGGTTCACTGGATCTTTTTTTTTTTACTGGGATGATAGATATGGTCAAAGTAAAAATTGGGAGATGTTATCCTTGAAATCATGTTTATGTATAATTTTTCAAAGACCAGTACAAGTTACAGCTAAAGCCCCAGAAAGCTGAGCCATTGGCTTCTCAGTCAGTTCTTGCCTCTTTGGAAGGCAGTACAGAATTTGGGTACAGTCAGTTGTCCTTTAAAATCAATCTGTAAAAAGTGTGACACACACACACTGGAGGTCTATAATTTCTACTCTTTAATTACTGCTAAGTCAAGAAAGTTTCAAGTATGACTACTACATTTAGACTAGCACTTTTCTTATTGGCTGTGGAATCATTGTGCCTAAATTATAAATTGAAAGTATATTTGAAGACTATAGATCTTGGGTGTGGGAGGACTGCAAGATGGAATAAGCACAATAAGCACAATTTAAAACAAATATACCCTATGGAATCTCTGACATAAAATATAGGCCTCCAGCTTTGACACTTGGTCTCCAGCCCTCAGAGAATCAATAGTTTCAGTTTATAGGAACTGGAGAATGAGCAGCAGGGAGGCCGAGGCATTCCAGAGTGATACCATCAAAAAGGAAGAAATGGAATAGTCCACACAAATTTCTCCCCACAGTACCACCACAAGCTAGCCAATCACAGCAAAACCTCAGTTGGGGCTTCTGTTAGGAAAGTGTACCAAATAGTATTCAGTAACTTGTAAATGCAAAGTATTTCTTCCATTTTAAGGAGCCTCTTAGCTGTTTTCCTATTCTGCTGTATTCCTAGTACAGTTTATTTCATTTTGGTTGGTTTATGATTGATGACAAGATCTAGATTTTCTAAAATGCTATAAATGTCCTATTTGGTCAAAAACCTAAGACTTATAGAGAGAAAAACAAAAGTTATCTCCATTGATAGACTGCATTTTTTACATTTAAATGTTTTCAGGTGAGAGTTTTTTTTTTTTAAAGCACTATATGATTCCAGGGTCACTGATTCATGTGTCTAAGACTCAACACTTACAGGCATAAGAAAAAAAATGAAGGAAAGGGCTCTTTTTCTGACTTTTTTGTGGAAACAAGTTATTTTTGGTCTCCTGTAAAAGTAGTTCCCTGATAAGACTGTGAAATGAAGATTTAATTATTTTTTTAAGAGATGTGTGTACTCTTGTCTTCCACAGTCAGGTTATCTGCCTTTTTAGCAAATGCAGTTTGCTCTTTCTCAACTATTTACTTTTTAAAGTGGGTATTCTTTTGTACTGGCTTACTTGATTACAGTGAAGTAATCTCAATAATGGTTGTTTATTTTAAAATCAACAACAAGGAGCCACCACTAAACAGCAATAACATAAACTAGATGGGCTGGTGTGTGGATTTTTATCTTATCCATGTCTGGGTGACTTTCAATGGTCTAGAAACTCCTCAAAGTTTCAGGCACAAGAATTGGAAGTTTCTGCTGATATGTGAATGCTAGTTTTGTGTGCATGCAGGAAGAGATGTAGACTAATTCCTCAAAAGCATTTTTTGTTTCTTTCAAAGAAAACAAAAATCCTCTATGGTAAAACAAAAACAAAACACAACTATTAAAAATAATAATAAAGCATTAGCATCTACAAAAGACAGAAAACGTGGTGAGTTTTGCTTCACCTTGAAAATACTTCCTGCTGGAAAAAAAAAAAAAGAACTGTGAAAAAGGGAGCTCCTAGAGCCATACTGGCCTGGAGGGCGGGGGATATAAAAGCTCCCCCATCAACTAACCTCAGGAAACCTCAGGAAAGCGGAAAGGAGAAACAGGGCGTCCACCTTAGGGAGTCCTCCGGTTCACCCCGGCCTTCCACACCATTTTCCCCTTCCCTGGAAGGAAGCGCTATTTTTAATGCTAGCTTTGGTTTTGGTTTGCTCCCTAGGCCAGAGGGCATTTTGCAAACTAGCCCGGGGGGTGGGGACGTAGGGCAGATCTGTGAGGGGGGCCCAGCTATCATTCTTTGCCCATGCCCTAGGCCCCCGCTCCTCTCTCGCTCCTTTTCAAACTGTGGCGGCCTCACAAGCTCCTACTTTAAAAGGCCTGAGATGTTTTGCATGAAGCCCTCACAATAGGGGTTGAGGGAATTGACAGTTTCAAAAACAAGGCGTTCAGTCCTTTCCAGCTGCCGGGCCCGCTCTCTCGCACCAACTCCTCGTCCCTCTCTGCTGGTGGCGTCCTCAGGAGCGGGCCGCCTCCCCCACACCGCCAGCCCGCGTTCCGGCCGCCCCACCCCGCCCCCAGGCTGTGTTTGTAAACAGGGGTCAGCGTCTAGGGGCTGCTGGCGCGGGGTTGGGGACTGGCGGGCTGGGGGGGGGAAGGCCTGGGACAACCGAACGGGCCAAGGGCCGGCCCGGGGGCCGAGGGGGCCGAGAGGTCCCTTTCTCCCCCGCCTGCTGCAGCCACCGCGCTGACCCAGGGCAGCTCCCGGCTCTCTGGCCTGGGCCACTGCCGCCACCAGAAAGATGTGCAAATGCCGCCATTTTGCACAGTGGCAAACAAATTTCTTTGTGACTTTTTCTTCCCGCCCAGATCTTGCTCTCCTCCGAATGAACCAACCGGCTCCCGGGACGGAAGGGCCAGCACCCCTCTGCGCGCGACCCCCAGCGCGTCTCCTACGGGCCTTGCGGCCAGGCGACGTCGTGGCCGGGCCCACCCGGGGCAGGGCAGGGAAGCCGGGGCGCGCAGCCGGCCTGGCCCCCTCCCCGGGGTCGGCTCCTGGGGGCTGAACCGCCTCTGGGCGCTCCTTTTGTGTGGCCTGGAGTTATATGCCACCTCCGCGCACGCACACGCCGCCTGCCTCTTTCTCACCTCCTCGCCCAGGCCTCAGCTCTCTTCCCCAGGCAAAAGGGGCCCAGCTTGTCGCCTTTGGCGGAGGGCTGGCCAAGGCCTTCCAAACGCGTGTGCGGAACTTAAGTGGCGAAGGGGATGGGGCTTCACACTGGGCCGGCCGGCGGGGCTGCGAACGCCCCCTAGGAAGTGGCCCAAGAGCCCAGGCCTGGAGTCGGGGAGGGCGCGGGCGAGGCCCGGCGGAACCCCCCAATCGGGGAAACGCGCCGGGCCAGGCCTGCTTCCTTTGGCGCCGTGGTTCCCGTCCCTTGGAACCGCTGAGTGCGTCTGAAAGTGGAATGATGACCGGGAAACGTGAGACAGTGACCTGGA